TATAATTACCGCCGTGAAATCTTCTCGAGCAGTACGCTCCGAGCCGATACCAGAACCGATCCTGAAAAATCGCATACGAACGAAGGAAAGTGAGATTGACGCGTACGCAGTCTCCGCCGAGCATTCTCGGCCTCCTCGCCGCCTGCGAAATCCTACCTAAATCCGATTTCGTCAAACGATAGCGAAGAGTTCGCCGCTATCTAAGATTCAGTCTAACATCCAACCGCTACCGCTAAACGGACCGTGGGCCGGCGAGTTCGCCGCTCCGTCGAGACTTCTCGACGCCCGATAGCAATCCTCTGTCCGCGTACGGAAGCGAGGGACGGAGAGTTCTCCGCCCGATCGAGGATTCTCGATCTCTGGCCGCATCCCCACGCACACCTGGGAATACGCGGATGCGAATACGCGAGCACATCGTCACGGTTTTACCGTGAGCGATTATAATCGCAACGAAATACATAATCGTACCACCCGATAGAATTCCACGCATCGACGAAATAAACACGGCCTTGCTGTACACGCGCCGATCGACCGCGCCCGATTTCTTGCGCGTTTCCCGCGCCGTCAAAATAAACATGGCCTCCCATACGTCGCCGAATATTAAGCGGTTCGATACATCGAACCACGCGCACCGAATAACCGCACGCAATCTGCACCGAACGCGTTGCATTATCCACCGCGCGCTAATATCCGAAACACATTGTACCTAGACCATCTCCGAAAGAGAGGAATAAATAAGCTAAATTGCATCCTAAGCTTTCGTATGTCTCGCCTTTCACGAGCCCTGATCCCGACCGAGATATCCGCGCGCTCGCGAAAGTAAACCCATTACAAAGTGATTGAGTTATTTACCTGAAAATGAGGAGAATATAGCTAAAATACTTACTGGATATATCATATACTTGACATAAATCTAAATTTAAAGTGATTTTTTCAAACTACACTACTGTATTAATGCCGGTATACTGTTATGTATTAACTGTTTTACTCATGTATTGCTAACTATTGCGAAATATTGCTAGCATATTGCTAATATTGCCTGTTTTATTACAATTATTACTGTTCTATCGCAATATTTTTAATGAGATGTACAATGACTGTCACAGTGCATGGTTGATCCTTGGACCTAATACCATAAAAACTTATTTTATGAATGTTTTTTTATGGGAACTGCAATTTTTGATCTAGTGGTAAAATTTGTTAAGAGTTGTTCAATTTTCTGAGTTTTAGAGTGCTTGCTTTAATTTTGTTCTGTTTCCTACAGTCTTTTATTATTTCAAATTTGGGTTTACTTACATTTATTAATACGATACTTTTACACGAAATGCATGTCTTTCTTATTCCTTCGTGTTATCATATGTCTGATGTGGTGCTAGAAGCGATTCGTGTTAAATAACTTTGCATAGCTAATATATATATTACAGTTTTCTTGATGTAATATACGTTTTCTCTAGTTTGTACGTTTTCATCGAAAAAATATACGGTATTCTTTATTTTCATTATTTCATTTTCATAATTATTTTAATTTTAATATTAATATCTCAAAAGTTGCGTTAAGGTCATATTCCTGAGATTATAGGCTTTGTCTTGAAGTAAATAAAGTTCTATTCATTTTTTGCTATTTGCAATTAAAACATCTTTTTTAAAATAATTTTACGGTTTAAGATTCATCTTTATTGTTTTACATTAAAGATGTTATAAGTGTACATTTTAATTTGCCATGTTCATAACATAGTTTGCCTCATTAGTAATTATGAAAATAATATTTATTTCAAAAGAATAAAAATTAAATATCTCAACGAGCAAAGTAGATTTAATAATATGAATTTATTAACATGAACGCTATATTGTGGGACTTTCGACACTGACTGGTGTCTCTTCAGACACAAAAAATAAAAATATAAAAACATATATAAAAAAATTATAAAAATAAACAATAATCATTAACATTAACGGTCGCATTTAGACGCAAATAATATATGAGTCCAGTCGTGCACTTTCTTTCGAAACTCTATCATGGATGTATACAGGCGATATTTTTATTGACTTTACTTGTAATGTATGTTCCTTGTAGTCCATGCTCAATTGTTCATTATGAAGCCAAAGTGTTGTCCAAGGAGTAAGATCGATTTTTATTTTTATAATTTTTTTTTGTTTTTATTTTATTTTCTGTGACTGAAAAGACACCAGTCAGTGTCGAAACGTCCCACAATATAGCATTCATGTTAATAAATTCATATTATTATTAAATCTACTTTGCTTGTTAAGGTCTGTTATTTTTTATTTAATATCAATGTTTTTATAATTTTTACGAGCGTAAACATTTATTACTTTTTTTTTAATAATCTCAATTAATATATGGAACAAAAAAATAGTATTTTATCGAGGGGTAGGTCACTAGTGGTTATAGTGTACAAAAATTACCCTTGATACGGATTACCTTTAAATTACCTTAGATTACTTAAGATTACCTTAGATTACTTCACATTATCTGAGGCTACCTGAAGGGGCTACATACACCTAGCGGTAGGAAAAATAGGGGGAAATTTGACAATTTTTTTTTCATAAAAAAATTTTTTTATTAAAAAATCTCTAGCTACATCTTAAAGTAGGACCTTAATGTATATTTGGTAAAATTTTCATTAATAAATATTGAAAAATGTACCGTGGAGACGTCATCTCCTGGAAGCTGTTTGACGATGCGGTAATCATTGTAGCTCCTCCAATTTTTATCTGAAATCAAAAACCAAAAAATTTTCTTAAAATATATAAAAAAAGGAAGTTTTTGTCGTAATCGATTTTTAAAATTGTGATTTTTCGAAAAATGGCGGTCATTTAAATGCAAAGATATAATTTTTAATCTGATACTTTCGCATTCAAATGGCCGCCATTTTTTAAAAAACCAAAATTTTAAAAATCGGCTACAATAACTTCCTTTTTTTATATACTTTAAGAAAAATTTTTGGCTTTTGATTCCAGATAAAAATTAGAGGAGCTACAATGGTTCGTCGAACAGCTTCCAGGAGATGACGTTTCCACGGCACATTTTTCAATATTTATTAATGAAAATTTTACCAAATATACATTAAAGAAACTACTTTAAGATGTAGCTAGAGATTTTTTAATAAAAAAATTTTTTCTATAAAAAAAAATTGTCGAATTTCCCCCTATTTTTCCTACCGCTAGGTGTATGTAACTCCTTAAGAGCCAACTTCACATAAGTCCTTAAGAATACCTAAAATTACCTACAGATTATTTGATATTACCCTTAGATTACTTAGATTTCCTATTAGATTACCCAAGATTATCTGAGAATGCTAAAGATTATTTAAAATTATCAAAAATTACCTTGGATTACCCAAAATTTCCTTTGGATTGCCGCTGAATTACCTAGCCCTTGTACAAAAATTACCTCAGTGACCAACTCCTCGTATTTTATATTTTGTAGGATATACTAAAACAGTCATGCGAAAACGAAAACTGCTGTCAGAGATGTCAGAAAGACATTACCGACGATTAAAATGCAATGCACGCAATATTGCAATTGCCAAAAATATGAAAAAACTGTTAACGAATGTTTCTAATATACATAATGTACAAAATTCAAGCGATGTTATTGCATATGTGATTAACGATGTTAATCGCGATCTTGATCAGGCAACAAATGTTACATTAAGGAATGAACCATCACAACAATGTAATATTCAACATAATATTCCTGACAATGAAAATGTTGCATATAATCTTGATTACAAAAGTACTTCAAATTTGAAGGATTTATTATGTCCAATCGCACTCACTTTTAATAACGAGGAGAATGCTGGCCGCACAAGTTTGTTTACTGCTGCATCAATTAAGAACGATTTAACAAACTGGGCAGTACAATTTCAAATATCACATACTGCAGTTACTGCATTATTGTCAATTTTAAGAAAACATGGCTTTGATACTTATTTGCCGAAAAACTCTAAAACATTAATGAAAACACCACGATATACTAACGTACGGTGAGTCACACCAGGAGAATATTTTCATAATGGCTTAAGATCAGGAATAATGGCGTTTCTACAAAAAAGTCAAGATGATGTTGATGTAGTTCAAGTGCAAATCAGCATAGATGGACTGCCAATTTCAAAGTCCTCTACTAATCAATTGTGGCCTATTTTAGGCTCGGTAAAACCCAGCCTTTGTGACATTTTTATTATTGGCTGTTATTTTGGTTCCAAGAAACCGTATGATTGTAACGAATTTTTATGCGATTTCGTGGATGAAGCAAAAATTCTTATTACTGAAGGACTTGAATATAGAGGAAAACATATATGTGTATCCATACATTCATTAATTGCTGATGCACCCGCAAAATCTTTTGTAACTGCCACAAAAGGACATACCGGTTACTTTAGTTGTACAAAATGTACAACTGAAGGTGCTTCCCGGATATAAATTGTCGTAAACGGACAAATGAAAATTTTCTTATACAGAGACAAATAGAACACCACACTGGGTGGAGTGTTTTGTCAAATATACCGAATTTTGGAACATAAAAGTATTACAGTAAAATTATCGAAAACTAAATATTTTAAGAGATATTTTATTTTTTATATCAAAATATGTCAGAATAAAATATAAAATAACTCGAAAAGTACGTAATGAAAAAATACTTTATTATAGTGTTTTGGAAAGCTCTCGACATAAGCTATAAGAATATGCAATAAAAAATAGGGGATTCTATTTAAGAAATTAAAGGTGTCCTTGACTTGTCCTTAACGATGCCATCCAAGGTCAAACCAATGACACCATCATTCATACTGGTGACGAGTCAAGACTCATCGCTGAGCGGCTACGGGCGCCAATTTTCAATCGTTTAATATGATCGGACCGCTCTGGAGACGTGCTGGGGATGTCGTCTCTCCGTGGCAATCGGCACTGCATCCATGGAGCGAGATTCCAACATCGCTCTGGAGTCGTATGTACTGTGTTAAAGTGGCGTAAGGTGTGAGGTCTGAATAGCTCAGTGGTAAGAGCAGTTGCCCGGAAAGCAGAAGACTCGGGTTCGATTCCCGATTCAGCCACTTGTACCTCGCATATTTTTTCAGACCCGCAAATGTTGTTTTCTAACAATTATTTGTCGGGCTAAGGAAGCGTGTAAACGCCCTACACAGACACGACAGTGCCGCTGCCACGGAAGAGATGGATGCGTGGTTCGTGCCTCCTCCCGCCTTAAATCCCCCCCTCGCTTCACTCTTATGTTCCCCTCTAAACCATACAATTTTTGTTCAAAACGTTTTTCTCTAGAATGCTTAGTTTTTGAAAGAAAAGGGGTGTACGGGTAGTCTAGGACACCCTGTATGTTTGAGACCATTGAATATACATTGGAAAAGTCTGAAAAATTAAAACATTTAAATCTGGCTTTATAGTTGAGCAGTGACATATTTAAAGAATATTCTAAATTCTGATAAAACGTAAATAATATTACAATATTAATATCGTCTTTCTTATATTTTAAATATCTTATGTAAGATCTTATAAATATATGTATGCTGTTGTGCCTCTCCGTGATACTTTATTTCGCGCTGCTTGCGAAATTGTATAATCGGGCTTATGTCACGATGCGTGTTCTAATGGACCCTTGACTTTCTCTTCCGCATCGGCTCCTGCGATTGCTTCTTGAAGCGTTGAGTAATGCTGTGCTCGCACCACCAATTTGATATCGTCGATACTCGTTATCTCTCTTTTTATGGTCCTAAAGTAGGTGATTTTTCGGTACTAGGTCGCGATGTCTTAATTGCATATTGCAACGAATTGCATATCTTGCATTTAATCGCGGTTTTGGGAGCGCGCGCAACAGCTTACGAAGTGCTGAATTTGCACTGTGCTCCTTTTTTACTTTTATAGGTCGTAATTACGTTATTCGATTTCGAGTTACGACAATGCATACACTTATATATACATGTGCGATAAAGAAGTGGACGTGGGCGAGAGGAGCCCTGCGAGACTGAGATGCAATCGAGACAGACAATCGACAGAGAAAAGACGAGCGACTTGACGACACTGCTTTTTGGTTTAAACTGGGCGGACTGTATTTCAATAAATAACGGTTACAAATGTTTCGGCGATGAGATTTCTTCTAATCTTAATCGAATCCTCGTTCCAGCGAGCGACCGGGAGCGTGGCGATAATCTCCGCGAGCGACGGATATATCGCGAATACCGCAAGCGACGGTAAAACGAAGCGATTCCGCGAGCGACGGAATAAACGGCGCGTTTGACTGCGAGCAATTAATTGCGAGCAACGAGAAATCACCTTTTATTCGAATCGGAAACTTCGCGTGTCGTAAGCGAGAGTACGAACTGGAAAAGCGAGCGACTTTTCTTTTGCGAGAGTTTGACGATATATTCACATACTGTCTCGGATAAATCTCGATCGAGTGCGCCCGGCGGTTCCCCGAGAGATCTTATATACAACCGTTCCTTTTCTGATTCTAGAACATTCAATCTGTTTTCGCGACAATTCGAGCCGGTAGTTGTTTTCGATGATTGTTAAATTTTGAACGTTGTTATTCGCATTTGTTTTTAATTTCGGCTCTCTCGGGTGACCGTTGCGTGGCCCGCTTTGAACGGCACGAGCAATGCCATGGGTCTGACGCGATTTGCTGAGCGCGGCTGACGAAGCGCGCTCTGATTCGCGGAGAGCCGCGCGACGCGCGAAATGTCCGCCAGCGCGCCGAATTATGAGCGTGATTAAGCTGCGCCTTGCTATCACGCTCGTTATGCTGACCGTGATTATTTATAATTAGTTCAATTTCGAACAATACATTTTTATATACTCTTTCAGATACGTACAAAAGAGATACACGCAAACATGCACAGAAAGATGCTAAAAAATGTATTACAACAAAAAGTAAGCAATTCCTTATCGTATATTTTCAGACAAGATATGTCAATTAGTTCTTTAGCTGATTATGTTTTATTTTAAATATATGTATATACATTGATAATACAATTTTATATACTCTTTCAGATACATACAAAGGAGATACATATAAAGGAGATGCATACACATGAGATACATACAAAGAAGACGCATACAAAGATACATACAAAGGAGATGCACAAAAAGAAGATGAAGAACATATTACATTTAAAAGTATGTCAATTCATTATTGTACATTTTTAGACAAAATGTCAATTAGTTCTTTAGCTGATTATTTAACGCTATGCTGTTTGAGACAAAAATATTTTACTTTTTTTAATTTAGTAAATATGAAAGTTTTATATCGAAAAATATATCCTGTAAAGTATATTTTTTTTTCTTGAATGCTAACCTTTTCTAAAATGCAACTAGAATTGAAAAATTTTTTTACTGTCCATTTAATCGAGAATAGTAGTTCAAGAATTATGCTTTACCGAACACGCGTCACAATGTAGCTTTATTTATATATATACATTTGTGTTATTTTTAGATTATCTTCAACGTATGGATAGAGCATTAGCAGATATAAAATTTGATATAAATCATCTGATTGAACAATATCAATTCATATTGACAAAAATGAATTTAAATGGTACCAATCCAACACGAGAATGTCATAGCCCTTTACCAAATGATGATTTGAGCAAATTGTCTTTCCCTTTGAAAAGTGGAGAAGAACTAGAATGTTTACAAAACTTGCTTCCTTCAACCGAAGGATTAAAAGAGCGTATGATGAGTTGTGTAAAGTAACATATATACAAATAATATACTAATTTATATTAACATTCATTCGCTAAAACATACTAATATACATTCGTTTTATGTATGCTTTTAAAATATTTTAGTTCAACATATTGACAGCTATTGATGGAAGTACTTATGAAGAAATGTGTAAAAGAATGCTCATATACATATTTACAAATGAAGTAGCTAGTTTGTACAGTTGGGTGGGAGGAAAGGAAAAACGAAAACTTCATCATTTGGAAATAATGGAAATAATGTTTAGTAAGTAAAAATAGTTTTTATCAAACACATCTTTTGAATATCAAAATACCAATACATTTTAAAATTTCTACATAAACATCTGATTATTTATTCAACGTTTTGGCAATTGTGACGTTTAAATTTATTGAAAACATTTTTTTCGTCTACTATAAATGTTATGATATTACAAAGACATGAAAAAGCATTTTTATTATATAGAAATAAAATATAAAAGTACAGAAAATGAAACATTAATAAAAACTGTTTTTTGCAGAAGTTATCAGGAAGACATTTCCTAATGTCACGGAGAAAGATTTCGAAACCAAATGTAAGGATTGGTTCCGATATGCGAAACACAGATCTGAAAATGAGAAACGACGCCAAAATAATTCGACACAGGTTAGGATTTATGTTAAATATATTTGCTAATAGATAGCTATCATATATCTTTATGATTATGTGTACAGAATATTTCAAAGATATTGCGCACTTTCTCTCTCGACAGACATTAAACTCAAAACTAAAAAAATTGGTTTGTTTCATTGTTTCAGCAATAACCAATTGCCAGAAGTGTTACGTCCAGACTCAAATAAAGGAAGAGTCAGCGGGAGGGCGTAACCTACTTGCCTCTAGACAAACGCTAGACGATGCGTGTCCTAGAGTCGAACGAACAGACCAGGGCCCTGCTTAAGATACCGCTAATCTCTATTTACGATGAAAGAAAAGAATCGTGGAGTCCGCCGGACGTAACACCCCCCACCTTAGACAAATGTTGGGGATGCAACATTTGCAACAAAAATTTCTTCTTGTCGATTCTTTTCTTTCTGATTTACATATTTGGAGAGATTGCATTCAATCGCGGCAATTAAATGCGATCCTTTGATTCTTACAAAATATTAAAATCTTACAAGGCTAAAATATTAATTCTTCTCTTATTTTTAAGAAGAAGGAAAGAGGAGGCGACCTCCAAAACCCCTTTCTTCGTTCTTTCGTTCTCCTTGTACATAACAAAAAGGTTCTCTTTTTTTTCTTTTGACGGGGAGAAAGGTAATATACTTAGTGTCTAAATTATTTAGAAATATACTTAATATTATACTTAGAGATATACTTAGTAACATACTTAATATCTAAATTAATTAAATTTTTTTTTTGGTTTTAACTCGAACGAGTTTTTTCAATTGACACTGCAAACATTGCTGTATATATTTTTGAACATCGGATTTTAAGTTTTCCCAATAATAATTATGTTTTATTCTGTTATATGTTTTTGAAACCCCACGATGTCCGCCGGTCGGTAAACAGTGCGTTTCGCCGATTATAATGGATCGTAAATCTTTTGGCGGATACTTGATTTGTCCATGGCAAACGATTATTTTGGTAGTGTCTATGAATATTAGTTGTAGTTGTGATTTAATATTACTCCAGGGAACA